TTCATTGCATGGACATACTATTTTCAAAATTGTTGGTATATAGTTGTCGATATTGTTCTCTCTCTTTTTTCTTGGTTAACACTATTTCTTTTTTTTATTGTGCTTTAGATGAAGGTTTACAGAGCAAATCAGTTTCTCATTATTTTGTGGTATTGTTCTCTTTTTAACCTGTGTTGCTGTTGTTGTGTTAGGTGCTGTCAAGTTGATTCCTACTCATAGTTACCCCATGTGACAGAATAGAACTGACGTATAGGATTTTCTTGGCTGTGATCTTTATGGAAGCAGATCATCAGGTCTTTCTTCTGAGGAGCTGCTCAGTGGGTTCGAACCTCCAACCTTTAGGTTAACAGCCGAAAGCTTAACTGTTTGCACCTCCAGGGCTTCTTGGTGGCGCAGTGGTTAAGAGCTATGGCTGCTAATCAAAAGGTTGCCAGGTTGAATCCACCAGCCACTGCTTGGAAACCCCGTGGGGCAGTTCTACTCTGTCCTATAGGGTCACTATGAATTGGAATCGACTTGATGGCAACGGGTTTGGTTTTTTGGTTTTTACTTATGGTTATATCCCCCTTTCTACTCATACTATTGTTTTATGTTTTCTCTCTTCTTTCATGATCCTTCTTGCCAGACATTTGCCTGTTTTTTTGTGATTTTTCTCCAAAGAACCTATTTTTTTTGCTGATGTACTCTATTATATATTTGATTTCTAAATCATTAATCTCTATTATTTTTATCTTTTTTCTTCTACTTTCTGTAGTTTATTCTAATTGCTTACTGTCTAATTTTTTAAGATGGACATTTAACTCATTGATTTTGAGACTTTTTAATGTAACTATTTAAGGTTATAGATTTCCCTTGAAGCACTATTTTTGCTGCATCCCATATGTGGTGTCTTAACATTTAGTTTTAAGTATTTTAAATATTTATTATGATTTCTTCTTTAACCCATGAGTTATATAGCAGTGTGGTTTTTACATTTTCAAATAGGCAGAGACTTTGAAAAGTATCTTTTGTTGTTAACTTCTAACTTAATTGCATGTTGGTCCCAAATTATGGTCTGTAAGTTATCTCTTATTTAAAGTTTATTAAGGCTTTCTTTATGGTCTAGTACATGATTTTTTTAAATAATATTTTATTGTGTTTTTGGTGAAGGTTTACACAGCAGTTGTAAGTTCCCATTCAGCAATTTCTACACAAGTTGTTCAGTGACATTGGTTACATTCTTTCTAACACATGAACATTCTCATTAATCCCTATATACTAGGCTAATAATTTTTAAACATTTTTATTTTTTAACTGATAAGGTCTTCCCCCACATAACCACAATGCCATTATCATAATAACAAAATGAAAAATTATGTAATGTCATCTAATATGCTCTCTGTGTGTGTGTGAGAGAGAGAGAGAGAATTTCCCCAGTTGTCTCAAAAAAACGTGTTTTTACAACTGGTATTTTTGAAACGGAGTCCCTGAGTGGTGGTAACGATTAACACCCTCAGCTGCTAACCAAAAGGTTAGAGGTTGGAGTCCACCCCGAGGTCCCTTGGAAGAAAGACCTGATAATCTACTTCCAAAACATCAGCCATTGAAACCCTACGGAGCACAGTTCTGCTCCGACACAAATGGGGTTGCCATGAGTTGGAATCAACTTGACAGCAACTTATCTGGTATGTTTGAAACAGGATCCAAACAATGTCTACACACTGCATTTGGTTGATATCTCTCGTGAGTCTTTATCTATAGCCATTTCCTCTCCCTTTTTTCCTCTCTTGCCTTTTATTTATTGAAAAAAACAAAACAGTTTGTCCTGTAGAATTTCCTTCATTCAGGATTTGGCTCTTCTTTGTGGTGTTAACTTATTTTTCTATCTCCTGCATTTTCTGTAAACAGATAATTAGATCTAGAGACTTGATTAAAGTCTGCTTCATTTTTATTTTTTGGCAAAAATATTTCATAGGCGGTACTGTGTACTTCCTGTCACACCAGATAGCAACATGATGCACATACTATCTATTGATCCACTTCTAGTAATGCTAAGATTGATTAGTGGGTTCAGGTGTTGTCAGCCTGATCTGTTCATTCAGAGTTCCCATCAACCTCTAATGGTTTTAACATCCATTTAAGAGCGTTGCCTAGTATTTTTTTTTTATTAAGCTTTACAAAATGGTGACTTTCTAATTCTGTCATTTCTTCCACATTTATAAGCTGTGATTCTTCTAGAAGAATTTTTCCTCATCAACTGTTTGGTTATGCTCAAATACATTTTGTTTAGGCAAGGCAGGAAAAATGCTTGAGAATTTTTCTTTATTAGTTTTCAGAATAGTGAGTTTTGGTGCCTTAGCAATCTCCAGAGGAAAACAAAGAGTTTTTTTTTTTTAATTATCATTTGAACTCTTGGATTTTTATATGTTTCAGACCATTGTCATCACTAGTCTATTTGATTTGATATTCTAATTGTTCCATCTTGGCCCAGTGGAAGTCCCTTCAAGTTAGCTCCTATGACATGGCCTCAGTAGTTTTTGACAACTTCCTTGCTTTTTGTCATGTTAAGATGTCTTAAGTACATGTTGCAATTTTTTTGTATGTGGTCCTTGATCTGAAATGGTCTATGTAACCAAATTCATTGTCATCAAGTTGATTCCAATACTAGATTATGTTGTTGTTGTTAGGTGCCGTTGAGTCGATTCCAACTCATAGTGACCCCGTGTGCAACAGAACAAAACACTGCCTGGTCCTGTGCCATCCTCATGATCATGGTTATGCTTGAGCCCGTTGTTGCAACCATTGTGTCAATCCATCTCGTCAAGGGTCTTCCTCTTTTTCACTGACCCTTTCCTTTACCAAGCATGATGTCCTTCTCCAGGGACGATCTATCGTAATAACATGTCCAAAGTATATGAGAAGTAGTCTCATCATCCTTGCTTCTAAGGAGCATTCTGGTTGTACTTCTTCCAAGACAGTTTTATTCGTTCTTCTGACAGTCCATGGTATGTTCAGTATTTTTTGCCAACACCATAATTCAAAGGCATCAATTCTTCGGTTTTCCTTAGTCATAGTCCAGCTTTCGCATGCATGTGAGGCAATGGAAAACACCATGGCTTGGGTCAGACGCACCTTAGTCTTCAAGGTGATGTCTTTGCTTTTTAACACTTTAAAGAGGTTTTTTGCATCAGATTTGCCCAATGCAATGCATCTTCTGATTTCTTGACTGCTGCTTCCATGGGTGTTAATTGTGGACCCAAGTAAAATGAAATCTTTGACAACTTCAGTCTTTTCTCCGTTTACCATGATGTTGCTTATTGGTCCAGTTGTGAGGATTTTTGTTTTACTCGATTATAGTTACTTCTAAATATTTTCATTGGTCAACTAGGAAGTACTATCTTTGTAAGGAGGGGAAAACATGATTTCAGACTAATGTTTCCAATTTAAATTAAAATTGCAGGGTTTTTACTTAACTTGGTTTTTATATCTCTGTTCTCTTACGCTGAATAAAACATTATCCTAATTATTTGCTTTATCCTATAATGTACATATAATAGTTTCAGAGTAACTTATTAGTTTTCTATTGCTATGCAACAAATTACCACAGATTTGGTAGCTTAAAACAACATACATATTTATTATCACACAGTTTCTGTGGGTCAGAAATCCAGGCATAGCTTAGCTAGATCCTCTGCTCAGGGTCTCCCAGGCTGCAATCATGGTGTTGGCTGGGCTCCAGTTCTCATCTAGCGGCTCAACTGGAGAAGAATCTGCTTCCAAGGTCATTCAGGTTGTTGGCAGAATTCAGCTACTTGTGGTTGTAGGACTGAGGTCACTGTTTTCTTGCTGGGCAGGAGACCATCTGCAGTTCCTTGCCATGTGGTTCTTTCCGCAGCTTCTCCAAAGCCAGCAAAGGGAGTATCTCCTCACAAGACAGCCCAGTCCCTCTTTTAAGGACTTTCACCTGATTAAGCCAGGCTTAGCCAGGATAATCTCCTGCATAATTAGCTCAGAGTCAACTAATTTGTGACCTTAATTACATCTGTAAAATACCTTCATGTTTGCCATATAACATAACATACCCATGCCATATTCTTTCGGTCAGAAGCACATCACAGATTTCACCCACACTCAAGGGGAGGGAAATATACAAGGGCATGACTCATTGTGGAGAACATTAGGGTATGTCTGCCACAATAACATTGCTGATTTTATCATTATCTGTAATACTACTAAATGCAATTTAAGATTTCTTTATGGTTATTTTATACAGATGAACAGTAAAATTTCTGTGTTTTGGGTCATTGAAACCATTCTTTTCTCTATGTAGAATTCCAAGAACTTGATATATAGTTAAGTTCATTTCTTTTAGTGTGCTTTCAGTATTTAGGGATTGCATGGGTTTTTTGTTGTTTTTTGCTTTGATTTTGTTTATGTAAAATATTTACATGATTCTAAATTAAATCTTTAAAACAACGTACATTCAGAAAATTCTGGCTGCACTTTTGTCTCCTCTACCTTATTTCTTTACTATTCCATAGATAACCATTTTTATTAGTTTTTGCTTTATCCTTCCATTGTTTCTTTTTGAAAAGATAAGCAAGTAAACATACACACACATACTTGTTTCCCCCACTCCCCTTCTTGTCTGCAAGGTAGCGTACTATAAATACTGTTTTGTACCTTGTTTTTTTTTTCTCTAAATTTATCCTGGAGATCATTCATTTCAGTATATAGAGATCTTCCTTATTCCTTTTTACAGCTGCATAGTATTCAGTTGTGTATGTGTATTGTAGTTTATTCAGCCAGCCATTATCTATCTTATTAGCCTTGTTTTATTTTCTTCATAACTCTTACTACTATGTGCAGTCTTGTTTACTTGTTCATTATCTTACTGCATTGCAAAGTCAGTAGGAGTTGGGGCCTATATTTTAGGAATAATAATTGTGCCTGGTACCTCATAGACAATTAATATTTGTTGAATGTTAATAATACTCAAGGTCTGTGTTTTGTCCCTGCAGGTTGATCCAAAAGACTACATGTTTAGTGGACTGAAGGATGAAACCATAGGTCGCTTACCTGGGAAAGTGGCAGGACAACAGTTTGTCATTCAAGACTGTGAGAACTGTAACATCTATATTTTTGATCACTCTGCTACAATTACTATTGATGACTGTACTAACTGCATATTTTTTCTGGGACCCGTGAAAGGCAGTGTGTTTTTCCGCAATTGCAGAGATTGCAAGTGCACATTAGCCTGCCAGCAGTTTCGTGTACGGGATTGTAGAAAACTGGAAGTCTTTTTGTGCTGTGCCACTCAACCCATCATCGAGTCTTCCACAAGTATCAAGTTTGGCTGCTTTCAATGGTACTACCCTGAATTAGCTTTCCAGTTCAAAGATGCAGGGCTAAGTATCTTCAATAATGCATGGAGTAACATTCATGACTTTACACCCGTGTCAGGAGAATTCAACTGGAGCCTTCTTCCAGAAGATGCTGTCATTCAGGACTATGTTCCTGTACCTACTACTGAGGAGCTCAAAGCTGTTCGAGTTTCCACGGAAGCCAATAGAAGTATCATTCCAGTATCCCGGGGTCAGAGACAGAAGAACAGTGATGAATCATGCTTAGTGGTATTATTTGCTGGTGATTATACTATTGCAAATGCCAGGAAACTAATTGATGAGGTAAGGAGAAAAAGAAGAGACACAGACATACACCTAGATAGAGACATATCCCTTTCCAGGGAACTTCCATTCTTTTCAAGTTGGGTTTTTAGAAATACAGGCAATCCTCAAGATATAGTCCCATCACCGCCCCCCCACCACACACACTCCACAAACGCACACATAGATTTCTCTGCAGGCTGATTGCTTGGGTCTCAAAATACATTTTCCCAAAGAAACTTTTTAAAAATATAATTCAGTTCAGTAAGCATTTATTAAGTACCTATTATGTACATGTTAACTCTGTTACCATATTTCATTGATTATAGGATACATGTTTGTTTTCCATGTTTTAACCTCTCTGAAATGCATCTTGCAATTGGTGGCAACTTAGATTTGATGAAATATATGCTGGGGAGGAAGATACATAGATGAAATTCTCTGCCCTCAAAGAACTTCCATTCTTTACAGTAAATAATTTCCAGGGAAGCACATAAAAGTAGTAGTGAATAATAAAACATGACCTTTTGTAACTTTGTAGTGGTGAAATTTCTTTGGAGTTTTCATTGGTTAGGGGGTGGAAAAGACATTTAAGAATACAAATTTTGGGCCCTGTTGTGACTATGAGCACAACCTCCACATTTCCTTATTTTCCTTTGCCCTATTACCATGAAGGGGAGGTTAGCGAGGAAGAGTGAGGTGGGAGCTGTGATGGCAAAGGTTGTAGGCTTACGAGCAGGGGCTCTCAGTGAACTCTTGAGTAGAGAAGAGTTTTTTGGTAGCAGCTTCCACTTGAAAAATAACTGGGGACACAGAGGTTAGGGGCTCTAAAAACAGTTCCTGTGTTGACGGGTGCTCCAATAGGGAGACAACAGTAGAATGTATTGATTATTTATCAATCAGTTGTTTCTTCAGTAGGAATCTGTTTGAATTTAAAAATCAAACTTCTAAAAATGGAGAAATGAATGGAAAACTCATCAAATCTCTTTTTGAATGAATTTTTTAAAAGTTGGAATGTCAAAAGGAATGATCTTAGGAAAAAAACTAAAAATGACTACCTCTCTATAATTATACATTCTACAATGTAGAAAACCCATGTGTGAAATCTACAAAGTATATATGAGGTATAATTTTCAAAACAACAGAAGCCAAAGTGTAATTTTAGGACTTTGATGTTTTCTTTTGGATTTTGTCAGTCTAATAAAAACATGCTGTGAATCTGGTAAGATATAGAAAAACCCGTTTCTGGCCTTTGAGCTATCTAGTCATGTTATTCCAACATCTAAAAGGTAAATATTTTCATTATATGCTGTTGGATGGTGATTTTTTAACCTATATACAATTTTCAAAAGAAGTTATTATTCAGGTTAAACTCCTTTTCAGTAGATAATGCAGCGTGGACATAAAGAATATTTAATATGTGTCATGGTTTGAATTATGTCCCCAAAAAAGTGTGTGTATCCATTTGGCTGGGCCATGATTCCCAGAATTGTGTGGTTGGCCTGCATTTTGTGATTGTAATTTTATGTTAAAGAGGATTAGGGTGGGATTGTAACACTACCCTTACCCAGGTCACATCCCTGATCCAATGTAAAGGGAGTTTCCCTAGGGTGTGGCCTGCACCACCTTTTACCTTACAAGAGATGAAAGGGAAGCAAGCAGAGAGTTGGGGGCCTCATACCACCAAGAAAGGAGCACCGGGAGCAGAGCGTGTCCTTTGGACCTGAGATTCCTGCGCAGAGAATCTCCTAGTCCGGGGGAAGACTAATGATGATGAGGACCTTCCTCCAGATCCGACAGAGAGAAAAAGCCTTCCCTGGAGCTGATGCCCTGAATTTGGACTTCTAGCCTACTAGACTGTGAGAAAATAAATTTCTCTTAGTGAAAGCCATCCACTCGTGGTATTTCTGTTAGAGTAGCACTAGATAACTAAGACAGAATTTGGTACCAGGAGTGGGGTGCTGCTCTAATAGATACCTAAAAATGTGGAAGCAGTTTTGAAACTGTGAATAGATAGAAGAGCAGCAGCGGCAGAGGACCAGCAACAGTAGAGAACCTGCAGTGGCAGAGAAGCAGCAGCAGCAGATAACCAACAGCAGCAGCACCAGGAGACCAGTGCGAGATGGCGCTAGAGCCGACCCACAGAGCAAGAGAGCTGAGTGCCTGTGCACAGGAGGCTTCCTGGCGGAGTGGGGTGCCGCCGGGCAGTTATCGGTGGAGCTAGGTTTGCCGACCCACGGAGCAAGAGAACTGAGTGCCTGTGCGCAGGAGGCTTCCTGGCGGAGTGGGGTGCCTCCAGGCACTTAATCAGTGGAGCTACTGAGCTTTGGAACACTTGCCCCAGCAGGGCAGATGCGGGCTTGAGGCCCGAGGGCTGAGAGGCCACAGGAAGCAGAAGCTGAAGAGACAAGGAACACCAGAAGCCGAGATGCCTCAGTCTCAAAAGGTATGGCATGAACGCAGGGGTTTCAAAGGGTGGAGCTATGGCCTCTGGTGCTTCTAAGGGTAAAGTCGCCATTCCAAAGGACTAGGAGAATGGTACACCTGAAGCCGAGGGAGCAGAGTTGCTGTCCCATTGGGCCTGGAATGCAGAGCTGAAGCCCAGGGCCAAGGGGCTTCCACTCAGAATCTGGAGAGTGTGGCCAATACCTAGAGTCTGGAGGGCAGGGCCATTGTGTAAACTGTCTCAGAGAACAGAGGATTATTTTCAAAGCCTTGAGGGCTGATGTAATCTGTTCTGCTGACTTGCTTGGTGCCTGTTATCCCTTCTTTTTTTCTAGTTTCTCCCATTTGTAATGGAAATGTCTAGCTTGTGCCTGTTCTGCCATTG